TTAAAAGTAAAGGATTTCCTAGGATGAAGCATATAAATGACACTCGCTCCACCCCACTACCATCCTTTGAGCTCAAGGAAGTTCTTAATGTCTCCTTTTCAAAATGACATGGCATAATTCAGTTCCATAAAATGCAATGAACTTGCCTACAGTCAAATTTTAAGAGCAGACAGTGAGATATTCCAACAATGGATTTCAAAGCCCTGCACATTTCCTTTCACTCCTTTTTTTTGCTACAGTACATCACTGTGGTTACTAGAGAGCCTCTGTTAACTTAAGGATGCAACTATTTAAGTCAGTATTACAGGTAGTCTTTCTTTTTTTTTTTATCTTTACATCTTCTTTTCAACATTTTCTCATCAGTAATCTATATTTATACATTTTCTCTTTCTTAGCTTAATCTATCTCTTATACATATATTCCTAGTATATCATATATATATATATATATATATTCTCTTAATCTAAATATTTTATTTACATTAAACATAAACAGGTACCTAATTTCCTTTCCACAATTTATATCTTCCCATTTGTTTCCATATTTCTCCACCTAATTTTACCATTGTTTAGTTTTCTTTTGTCCCCCCCCCTTTTTTTTTTTCCTTTTCCCCTTTCTCCTCCAACCATTTATACCATTTCTCCCAAAGTATTACAGGTAGTCTTTCAACTTACGACCAGTTGCTGAGCAACTGTTCAAAATGATGATGGATATCCCCAGATCTACAGTACTTATGACACTGTATCAAAGTTCCAACAACCCCATCACCACACCTTTGCTGTCATGGGCTCACATTCTGGGTGTTTTGCAACCAGCTCGCATTTACGGCCATTTGCAGCAACCTGCAGTAAGAGGGCTGTGAATTTATGACCAACATTTGCTTCCAGGTTCAGTTAACGACTACAGCGTTCACTTAATGACCACAACAAAAGAGGTTGTAAAATTGGGTGGGATCACTTGGGTGCAATCCCTTAACAGTTGCAATAATTTACAACCATAATTCTGGGCTCATTTGTGGTCATATATCAAGGACTATCTATATCTGCAAAGCTGTCAGCAGCTCTATGGGGTTTTCTTTAAAAAGGGTTCTAAAAATGGACGATGAGATTCTTTGTGACACTACACGATTGATCCAGCATTATATTTCATGCATGTTTCATCCGAGACTGTATTTTGAGCTACTCAGTCATAAAATGCACTGCACTTTATTTGTCTACTCCACTTCTTACAAAAGGCTCTCATTCCATAAAGAATGTTGTAAGCAACAATTAAAGATCAATTTTTACTTTGTAAGTAACTAGTCTGCAACTCTACAAATGCTTATTTCGGGGGGTGGGAATTAGAACAAAAGACAGCATGACAACAGATTCTTCTGAATATTTTAAAATTTAATGGAGCTGATCATACTTTATGATGCAGTGAGTCATTGTTTTTAATAAGCAATAATGTGAAAAGGTTCTGAACTCTTGACTAAAGTATGAAGTCATATACACTTTATTCTTGCAGATGGAAAAGCAATTTGAGAAATTTAAATAGTTTGAAGTAAAGCAGGTGTTTTTATTTTTATTTTTTTCACTTTACTGGATGTGTATTTTAACACCCTGTTTTAGCCAAAGGCATGTGCGGAAGAGAGCGTCATATTGTAATATTTATGAACTGCCTTTAAGGTGGAGCGTGAGTTGAGGAAGGGGATAGGGTTCATTATTGTTGTTGTTAATAGCAATAGCATTTAGACTTATATACCATTTTACAGCCGTTTCTAAACTGTTTACAGAGTCAGCCTATTGCCCCCAACAATCTGGGTGCTCATTTTACCCACCTCGGAAGGCTGGAAGGCTGAATCAACCTTGAGCCTGGTGAGATTCGAACTGCCAAATTGCAGGCAGCCGGCAGGCAGCAGAAGTAGCCTGCAGTACTGCACTCTAACCACTGTGTCACTGTGGCTCATGTTTAATTGTTACAAAAACATTTTTAAACAAAATTTAAAAGGCAAAGCATTATTATTTAGATTTTTCTCCCATTTGTTTATTCTGTTTTATGAAACTGAAAACAGTGAACAAAATACATTGGTTTATATACAGGTTTAGATACTTGACTTACAACCATCCATTTAGTGACCATTTAAAGTTACAATGACACTGAAAAAAAGTGATTTATGGCCAGTTTTCACACTTATGACCTTTGCAGCATCCCCATGGTCACATGATCAAAATTTGGGTGCCTGGAGACTGGCCTGTATTTATGACAGTTGCCCTGTCCTGGGATCATGTGATCTCCATTTGTACCTTTCCAGCCGGCTTCCGACAAGCAAATTCAATGGGGGAAGCCAAATTTGCTTAATGACTGAATGATTCATTTAATAACTGCAATGGTTCATTTAACAATGGTTGCAATAAAGGTTATAAAATGGGGGGAAACTCACTTAACAACTGCTTTGCTTAGCAATGGAAATTTTGGGTTCAATTGTGATCATAAATTGAGGACTATTTATATCTGCAAATACTACGATTAATCCAGGGGTGAAATCCAGCAGGTTCTAGAGAACCGGTAGCGGAAATTTTGAGTTGTTTGGAGAACCAGCAAATATGACCTCTAGCTGGCCCCAGAATGGGTTGGGAATGGAGATTTTGCACTATCCTTCCCCCAGGAGTGGGATGGAAATGGGGATTTTGCAGTATCCTTCCCCTGACATGCCCACCAAGCCATGCACACAGAACCGGTAGTAAAAAAATTTGGATTTCACCACTGAATTAATCCACCATTGATCCATCTACTCAAATGAGGAAAAGATTTACTTCTCTTTGGGTGTATCTATGGCAGAAAGGCAGTGAAGGGCCTGAGGGCTGGTATATTGGTATATAACAATTTGAAATTAAACAAAATACAGAATTACTTTGGCACTATTTACATTACAGATATCTCTTGATTTACAAGTGCAACTGGGACCAGAATTGCAGTCATTAACTCATGACCACTGTAAAATCAAGGTACCCATGGAACCAGACCCAATTTTACAACTGGTGTTATGATGTTATTAAACAAATCAGGTGGTCATAAATCTGAACCTGTTCTCCCTAAGTGGTGGGGTATTTTTTTGCTATGTCAGCCAAAAAAAATAGTGCCATAAACCAGGGGAAATCACATGACTATGGGATGCTGCAACCAGTCATAAATGAGAGTGGGTTGCCAAGTGCCCCGTGTGCAGTCATGTGACCACAGGGACTGAGCGGGGACTCACACAATATTTGACAACTGCCAGAGGTGCTTTTATGGATCATAGAACACCTTTTCCAAAGTTGATGTAAGTTGAGGAGTACTCACACTGATAAATCTTTTGGCCATTCGCATTGTCTGGCATTGGAAAATCATGCCCAGCTATGTTCTCTAAAACCAGGAAATACTTGCTAATCAGCCAACTTCAGAATTCCATGCCAGATCATATTAAACCAAGGCCCCATTAAATCCAAGCATACTAGCAACTCAAAAATCAGAATACTGTTGCTGATCCTACTATCTGGAACGAGCTCCCCCCGGAGATACGGAGGATCCCGGATCTGCGCACTTTCCGCCATGCTTTGAAGACACTCCTATTCCAGCAGGCCGGCCTGGTCTATTTTTTTTCCCCTTCTTTTAAATTTTTAAACTCAAATTTTAATTTGTTTTAAATTATTGGGAGTTTTAAATTGTCTCGGGCAAAAATTATTTAATTAGGTTTTAATCATGTTTTAACTTCCGTATTTATGTGTTTTATTTTGTGCCTGTTCACCGCCCTGAGTCCTTCGGGAGTAGGGCAGTATACAAATTTAATAAAATGAAAAAAATGAAAATCTAGAGGCACACTGTTACACAGCACTGTTTGTTTCCAGAATGTATTTTTATTTCTCCACTCAACTCTGATTGAGGCCAATGTGACTTGTTTGTTAGCCTCCAGCAATAACACTACCTAACCAATCCTTGTATCTTTCTGTTTATTGTGCTATGAAGATACGCAACAATGACAATGTATTGCAGGCAGAGAACATGTGAGGCTACAAGGAGAGGAATCTTCAAAAGCTTAAACCAAAGCAAAACGTTCTCTACTTTTGTAAGAAAACATCAAAGGCCACTGTCCAGAAAAGTTCTTTTAAAAGGACTTGAGCACACTCTTTCTTTTACACCCTCAAATAGCTAAAGCATAAGGACGGAGCACAACAGTGTGAAAATATGCTACACCCTGTTCTTTAAAAAGTGAGATCATTGTTTAGCATTTTCATGCGAAAGATCACATTTAAATTTTACTGAGACTGTATTATTTATACTGAAATTAATTCTCTTCCCACAGGCACACAAATAAATCTCCTCTCCTTATCACAGTGCCTTGCTTCTGGGCATATTTTAAGAACAATGAGATTTAAAATACCATAGTCAGACATCCTTTACTAGACTAGGGGAAAAAAGTAATGATTGTTAGCAGGGATTGGGCATTAAAAGAAAGGAGTAAGCTAGGGAGCAAGAAAAGACAGCAGCAATCTAAGGGTTGGAGCAGCTTTTGAGAAAGAATATATGAATAGCTGGATAAAGACAGAAGTACTTAAGAAGTTTACAAATATTGCAATGTATTTAATTCTACTTTTAAAAAACCATTCACAACAAAAACATTCCATTTTACCCCCTATTCTAATTTCCAGTTCCACCAGCAATACTAGAGAAAAAGAAGATGGATGGATGGATGGATGGATACAGACAGACGGAGATGGATTAGAGAGAGGGAGAGAGGGAGGGAGGGAGGGAGAGACTAAGAGAGAGAGAGATGGATGGATGGATGGATGGATGAATGATGGATGGATCAATTAAATTAATCATAACCCTAACCAATGTAAACAAGAGTTCTGGTTACTTTTTCAGTGCCTTCATGACTTTGAACAGCCACTAAACAGGGCAGTTATTAAGTGAGGACTATCTATAAAGCCAATTTTATTTAAAACAACTTCAAACACAAAAACGCATTTTAGGCGACTTACCATTGGTCGTGCATTGATAGGTAGAAGGTTTCCTCTTAGGAGCCTCCTATCACAGGAAGATGGTACTGAAATACAAAAAGTAAAGGCAAGGCTTAATTTGGGACAATTGCTCAGACAGATTTTAAAGAGTAAGGCTGACATTTTTGACTTTTGAATTTTAAAGGAAGAAAATGCTAGTGTCAGTTTTCAAATGAAAACAGAAGGAACTGTTGATTTACAAAGTTTTGTTTGGAACGGGCTTATTTCCATATTAAAATAGCCTATAGAGATGGTGATGACAGCTCAGGGGCCAATATTTCAAGTCTATTAAAGATTGTTGTCGCAATGCATTAGCCATTTTACCTTACCAAACCAAGGCTTTAAAGAATATGGCTTAGTTCATTTTGTAATAGCCACCAATAAAGCTTCCCCAAACAAAGCTAGATAAAGTTGAAAGAATCTCCAATGCATACTTAGAGGGAATCATGCTCACAAAGCAATAATTACATTAATCCCACTGGTGCAGAAAATGGGATGTGGGAAAGGGGAGAGGAGAATTATATTTTTAATAGCATCTAAATCTGTGTGCAGGCAATGCTTAGAGAAAGGCTAACTTGACAGCTATCATCTTAAAAGTCCATGTTCGAATTAACAAAAAATCCTTTTTATGTATAGATATATCTTTTATGATGGAAGAATCTGATTGAAGTTACAGACTGAATCCAAAGAGCACTCAGGTACACACCCAGAGGATACCAAAACTGCCAATAAAACTCAGAACCGAAAATACTGGTTGAGGAAAACAAAGCAGAAACTCTTTTGCAAATAGCAGCCTCACTGTCAAAAATGGCAGTGTTTATTTTGTTTCTTCCATGTATAAACTGTGTCTGTTCAAAGAGGAAAAAAGAACTCTGTTGCAAGATCACACAGACTGACTACAAACAACAGCATGACAAAGTAGCAACAATGGTGCATTGGAATATATGCAAGAAATAGCACTTGTCTGCAAGCGAGGACTGGTGGGGTCACAAAATAGGCAAGTCAGAAAATGCTCTGGGACTTTAGAATTCAAACAGATAGGCACCTGCCACATAACACGCCAAGTCAAAAAGTCTGGATAGTGGAGAGAAAGAAATTGAGAAAATCACAAAATACAAATTATTATTATGTATTATATGTATTTTATCTGGCTGTTCACCGCCCTGAGTCCTTCGGGAGTAGGGCGGTACACAAATTCAATCAATCAATCAATCAATCAATCAATCAAATCAATCAATCAATCAATCAATCAATAACTGCAAATAAAAGTAAAACAACATCTATCTAAATCCAGGTACTTTTAAGGAAATTGATAGGTGGATAAAAATGCAAAATCAGCTTAAACTGCAGTGTAACTAACCATAATATCCTAGGTCTACAACCACATCATCAATGCCATAAAGACAGGAAGTAGGGAAATATCTCACAGGGCAATTGTAGTCACAGATATGTCTCCAAGGGCCCATAAAATGACATAACAACTAACAGGATAGAAAGACAAAACTAAACTGAATAGTCTGGCAGATAACTGAAGCAAAGGTTTTATAGATGATACACTTTGAATTATCGTATCCAATGAATTGTTAGATAACACTGCTTACCTTCAGAAGAATGCAGCCCTCTGAAAGATTTCCTATCCCATGGTTTCAGAAGGCAAAATATATATTTATATGTAATGTACGGTAATGCAGTATGTTATTACATGTTATATGACAGTGATGGCTATTTTGCCATCGCGTGCCAGGAGGGGACGGCGGGGGGGTCGTGCGTGTGCGTGTGCACAACCATAATTCTATGTGCCCCGCCCCTGCATGCGCGAACTCCCCCTCCCCCCAACTCCTGGCACGCGACTGGAAGTTGTCAAATGGGGCATGTTTGGCCTCCGGAGGACCTCCGGGGGGGTGACGAAGGCCGTTTTCTCCCTCCCCAGACTCCTAGAGAGGCCCTGGAGGCTGGGGACAGCAAAAAACGGGCCTTCCGGTCCCACCAGAAGTTGTTAAATGGGCCGTTTTTGGCCTCCGGAGGACCCCCAGGGGGCTGGGGAAAGCCGTTTTCGCTGTTCCCAGAGGCCCTGGAGCAGTGGTGAAATGCAAAATTTGTTACTACCGGTTCTATGGGCGTGGCTTGGTGGGGGGTAATGTGACTGGATGGGCGTGGCCAACTTTTTTTTTTTACTTTTAAAAGCATTTTTTCTACAACCTCTTCAGCCGAAATGCTTTTAAAAGGCTCTGACGATCTCAGCTGAGCTGCATGATCATCAGAGGCTTTTTTTTACTTTTAAAAGCATTTTTTTGGCCGAAGAAAAAATGCTTTTAAAAGTAAAAAAAAAAAAAGCCTCTGATGATCACGCAGCTCAGCTGGGCATGGGGGGTGGGCAGGGATTTTTACTACCGGTTCTCCGAACCACCCACCATCATCACTACCGGATCGGGTGATCCGGTCCGAAACGGGAGCATTTCACTCCTCCCCTGGAGCCAGGTGAGAAAGAAAAGAAAAACGGGCCTTCCCCACCCCCCGCAGGCCCTCCAGAGGCAGGAAACAGCCTGTTTCCCTACTTCTGGTGGGCCCAGAAGACCCGAAAATCAGCTGGCCAATGCGCGTATGTGCGCCAGAGCTGAGTTCGCGTGTCCACTGATAGGGCTACATGTGCCATAGGTTTGCCATCACCGTTATATGATGTTGCTACATTATGTTATGAGATGTGTGTTACATGTTGTGATGTTATGTAATACGTGATTGTGATATGTGATATGTTCTGATACTGTACTGAGTAATAAGGAATGTGCTGAAAGAATAAAATATTTATATATTTAATCTATGAAATAAATACTTAACAGTAAAAACTATTCTCCAACATTGGACAACCGTATGTTTTCAAGAGATCCAGAAGTGCCTTAATATACAAGACAACATATTCTCATATCTATTTATCATAACTTTTTTTAAAAACTAAAACAATTAGGAGTCATAAGCAATTTCCTATTAAATAATAAATCTAATTCAGTTCCACATTAAACTCAGCTGTAGAAAAAAAAATCTACTTAAAATGTAAACAAATTAACTTCAAAATATTTCTGAACATCAGTTTTAAAAGTATGTTTCCTGTTTATTTTTCATGTTCTATTTTTTATGTGTGTATGTATTCCCATACCCTTAGTGTTCAAGGTCTGGTGGTTAATCCTACTCCCTGGGGTTTCTATTGAGAGAGCGGGGTAATATCTGAAGAGGTGAGGATCAGGTCAAAGTTGAATGCGACTTAAAAACCTCTATGGAGCTGATCTCAAGCCCTCCTAATGCAATTGTGTTATTTTCTTAGCAGTATTGTGAAAGTGTCTTCACCAAGATGTTTTGTGGGGTTTTTTGACAGTCCAGTCCACCCTAGAAATCCTACGATATTTAGGTGATTCCCCATCACTGACCTGCTTAGCTTTCAAAGTCAGATATAAGTTTTACCCAATGAGAATAATTAACACAATTATGTGTCAATAGACATAAACTGGATAATTGGATGGAGACATGATACAGGTAAATCTTCACTTAACAATGGTAGTTGGGACAGCAATTCTTTTTATAAGCAATGCAGCTGTTAAGTGAAACATCACATGATCATGCTGACTTATGACATCAGTTCTATTGCAATTGTTAAGCAAATCAACCACGTTCATCAAATGTGACTTCACGTGATCATGACTTATTTCCAGCTACCTCGTTGACTTTGCTTGTCAGAAACTGGATATGATGGTTGCAAATGGCGTTCATATAACCGTAGGATGCTACAGCTGTCCTAAATGCACACTGGTGTCAAAGCACACAAATCACACTCACACAACCGCAGAGAATCTGAGACAGCTACAAGATTGAGGTCTGGTTGCAGATCTTTTTCAGCACCATTGCAAGAGGCAAGCTACCTGGAAAGGAATCAAATTTACACCTGCAGAATCCATGCCTCCTCTTTAATACACTTTCTTCTTTATCTTGACCTTGCAAATTTCCCTTTCAGCAGAGGGAAGGGAAAAACACTGAATTGATTTCTTGTAACAGTAAGAAAGGAAAGCATAGAGAGAGAAATGACTACAGTATTAGCATTGCAGATAGTGGCTAATTCAGCATTCATACAGAATTATCTTATCTGACAAGTGTTACTGACTTAATATAAAATATCATGATCCTTTGTGCTAAGTGTATGCTAATTTATTTATTTATGCCAATTTACTCATTCAATTATTGAGGCATCCTAAGTAGTTGTGTTCAGCTTTCGTTGGGAGGATACCCAGATGCTCATTACCTTTTTAAAAAAAAACAAAACAAAACAAAGTTTCAATGTGAATACACAATAACAATTGCCATCAACTGAAGCTGCAAAGCCAAAGAGAAATAATCGGAAGGCCACACAGCAAAAAAAAAAAAAAAGAGCTGGAACAGCTTTGTCTGGATAAATACTGCAAATTCTTTTCACAGGAGCTAATATAATACAATAAAACAGGACCACAAAGCTGTTTATCTAAACAGGACAGCAGGACATGAAATGATATTGTTGTCTGATCTCTTACAGATAGTCGCTTGAGTTACAACTATTCGTTTAGCGACTCTTCGTAGTTACATTGAAAAAAGTGATTTACAGCCACTTCTCTCATTTACAATTGTTGCAGTGTAACCATAGTCACATGATCAAAATTCAGGCCCTTGGCAACTGGCATGCATTTACAATGGTTGCAGCATCCAAGGGTCACATGTTTGTGATTTGTGATCTTCCCAGCTAGCTTCCAACAGGCAGTCAATTGGGAAAGCTGGATTCGCTTAATGACTATGTGATTCACATAACGACCACAGCCATAGCAAAAAAAAGCCATAAAATTTGGCATGGCACACTTAACAACCTCATTACTTAGCAATAGAAAGTCTGGTTGCAATCATAGTCATAAGTTGAAGACCACCTGTACATCCTTGAGTTATACATTATACATATTATATATCACTTCATGCAATCTCTATTAAGAGTCGTGGTGGTGCAGTGGTTAGAATGCAGTATTGCAGACTCACTCTGTTC